GGTCAGACAAAGCCCATCTTCCGTAAGAAGGTGAGTGCTACTCGTGGAAGGAGGACCTGAAACTTTCGTGGCAATCCACATGCCTAGCTGAAGAGGGAGACTTCAGTCACCTGCAGCCTTGTGGTCCTGTGCTCAAGCTGTGTTATGGCAGCTCTGTGCTGGTAGTGCTGTATGAGGAGTGCAGTTTCTCTGTCCATATCTGCTCATTATCCCTGCTGCTTGTGTCTCATGTAGATGCTCCTTATTTTTGCTGGAGTGACATAGTGTGTGTTTGCAGGGCAGGTTCTGCAGGGAGCCTCGATGCTGTAAGGGAGCAGGGTCTCACTGGAAGTGATGCCTTTAATGAAAGGAGTGTTTTACTCATTGCTTGCCAAAGGGGAAGAGTGCAGTGAAGGAAAAGGCAGCTTGCTTCCCTTATGTTCTTGAAGTGCCAGTAGTTTGTCACGGAAACTTTTTGCTGGGTTGTGAGGCTCTCTGCATACTGAGGCAGCCTTCACTGACAAGGGTATGATGGAAGCGAAGCGTGTGCAATTCCTGGGGGTACCGCAGAGCAGAGCATCATTTTCTTGCAGTCTGCTGTCTTCAGGAAAATCATATTGCTGAGCCAGTAAATGGGAGCTGCTGCGTTAGACTTTTCCTGAGTCTCAAAGCAGCAGTGGAAGGGCAGCAGTTCATTCTGTTACAGATGAGTTTCAGAGTCTGTTGCTGTTGTCCTTCCTTTTCAGTGTGGATGCCAGGGACTGTAGTCTTGCAGCATGTTTTCTGTCTGTGCCTCTATGTACCTCCTGCCAGGGAGTGGGGAGGGGCAAAAACTGTGGTGTTTACAGCAGAGAAGCGAAACCTGATCAGCTGATTTTTTTTGTAGTTTGTGTGAACTGTTTAGTTACCTTAGAGAGGTATGTGGCTCATTGCTGGAAGGCCCTGGTGTTCTGCTGGAGATGTTTAGGAAGTTTTCCACCAAGAAGAAAAATAAATGACAGCAGCTTTTCAACTTGATATTCTGCCAGGAAGTGAGGAGACCTTGAAAAAAATGCTTCTGCAAGCAGGGTACACAAAGCAGCTGTATTGCTCTCGCAGTTTGGCATTCCCCACCTGTACTTTGCCATCCCCATTTCTGTTCCTAGTTAGCATTATATGGATGATTGGCTGAGGCTTATAACTGGTGGTTATAGCTCTGTCCAGCTGCCACAGTAGCCTCGCAGCTTTGAATTCTTCTCTAATCTTTTAGGCTTCGTCTGAATTCTCAGTATCTGCTGATCTGCATTGAGCATGTTGTGTCGCTGCTCCTTCCAGGGAAAGTTTCAGTCGTGCTGCGTTCAGGTGTTTTTTCTGCCCGGCTCTCTGCTGAACTTCTGAGCAGTGCCAGTGTGTTCTCCCACGCTGCAGAAGTGCCTGTTCGGTGGTGCCTTCACTGGCACAGACTTCCTTCCAGCGTGGCTGATCTCTGCAGGGGACCAGCCCTGCTCCACTGAATGCTTTTGCCAGTGTCATTTATTGTGAAGGTGCAGATTCGCTGTACTCCTGTACTGGTCCTTAAGGTGCCATCTTGTTTTTAATGGAGGGAGCCTAACTGTGTTGGTAGTCTTTTCCTTTATACTTTGAGAACAAGCTGCTGAATCTTCAGGAGTGCAGATAACGAGCTTTTCCTGAGAGCGGAAGTTTGTCTGCTTGTGGACATCTTGTTCATTGATACACTCTGCTCCTCTCCTCACAGGCTAAGACCACAAAGAAGATTGTGCTGAGGCTGGAGTGTGTGGAGCCCAACTGCAGGTCCAAAAGGATGCTGGCCATAAAGAGGTGCAAGCACTTTGAACTGGGAGGAGACAAGAAAAGAAAGGTATGTTTGTGTACCATGAGTGGCCGAGAAAGGGTGGCAACATTCAGTGGTGAATAAACTTGCTCTGTCTCTTCCTTCTTACAGGGCCAGGTGATCCAGTTCTAAGATCAATCCTACTCATTGTTATGGACCATATTAAACTACTTGGAAGTGATCCATTGCTTAATTTTATGTATCTGCTCTTGTTGGTGGGGTGGGACTTGCAAGTACATCAACCCAACAGGAAGGTGTTGCTTGCGAAGCTGATTAGTAAATAAACCGTCTGTAATCTGAAGGCTTTTGAAAAAAGCCCTGCTGATAGCCAAGAGGCATTTCAGAATATATGTAGAGCCTGAGGCTCTGATGGGTTTTTGCACCAGTGGGTTTTGCTTCTCTGCGTGGGCATTGTGCTGGTGCTTTTCTCCAGGTTTATTCATGAGCTTCCATGGTAGAAGGCTGTCTCCAAAAGGGCCTCCTCCAAACTTCTGCAGCTTGTTTCATTTGAATCAGTTCGTGTCTCTATTATAGTGGTTCCATTGCCTGCTGTAGGTGACCCTGCTTCGGCAGGGGGCTTGGACTAGATGACCCACGGAGGTCCCTTCCAACCCTGAACGTTCTGTAATTCTGTGATTCATTTCATGAATGCTGTGGTGAATTTGAGTTGTTGGTAGATGTAGTGACCAGGGAAAAAAGAAGCAGAGCTGTCAGAGTAGGCCTTTTTCCTCTTTAAGCCCTTGCCTGAGAGGAGAGGCAGGTAAGATTCCTTGCACTCAGCCATGGTTTTAACACTGTAGGGACCAGAGTAATGCGAACAGCCCCTGCGCTTGGCTGTAGGCCCCTCTTTACAAACAGGGAACAGCTGTTCTGCCCTGAGGGCCAATGCATGAGCGAACAGCCTGGAGCAGCTCGTGGGTGTGGTACGAGGGGCTTCATCTGAGGAAGCATCGCCTGCACCATTAGGCAGTGGTTACTTGTGCAGCTCAGTGATGAGTTGTGTGCAGTGGCTGTGTTAGGGTAGCTGAGATGGGAGAGGGACAGCTTCGTGCCCATGGTTCCCCCAGCAGCTCAGTGTCACGCTGAAAGTGATGCTGTGACAGGCCTCAGCTGCCTGCCCCCTGTGCCTGACTGCTGTTGGGGCCTCTTAGAATTTTGCTTAGAAGAAAAAGCTGAAGCACAGCACTGCAGTTTCAAATGAGTGGTGACTGGGCAGTTACCGAGAGCACGGTGCGTTGCAGCACAGCTTGCTCTGGGCTGTGATGCCCCTGCTGTCCACTTGAGGCAGCAGTGTCCTGCCGGTGAGCAGGAAGGCCACTGGCAGCAGGTGCTGAGAACACGATGTGGAGCGCTCTGTGTGAGAGTAACTTCCTTGTAGTGAAAATAGAGCTGGAGGATGGAGAAATGCCTCTTCACATCTTCATAGGGACTGAGAACGCTCAGTTACTGAACAGTAACAGAACTCATATTTTTGCATATTTAGTACTGGCTGATGTGATTGGCGTTTTCAAACTACTGCTGCTTAACCTGTTAGCAGCAGTGGCTTTGGTCTCTGCCTGTGAGATGGACTGTGTGGCTGCGTCGTGTCAGCTTTACTGAGCGCAGTTTGTTGCAATCGTGACAAATGTCACAAGAACGGAGTGACTGGAACAAAACAGCCTGTTTTCTAGAACGTGGCTTAATTTCAGATACCATCCTATACTCCTGTACAGTGGAAATAAGAAAAAGCTTAGCCTTTCTAAGGGACACTTTAATTGAGATGCTTAGTGACAGAAATTAAAGTAAATCAAGATACCTTGATTGTGTAGTAGTCAGAAGAGAACACACCTGTATATAATGGTTGTGTAAGTGATTAAGTATCTGTCTTCTGTCTCGGAAGGACCTGTGTTACTCAACCTAAAGGCTACTCCCAGCAGTGAAAACTCAGCACACAGGTACTTCTGGAAGGCAGCTCACTGAGGAAGGGGACCCCAGTGGCCCCATGAAGGGTGAAGAGGGAACTGTCATCTAAAGGGAAGTGATAGCCACTGGTGAGAGGAAGACTTCCAAGTCCTAAGGCATGATACTTCATCCCATTTATACTAAGCCGGCAGCTGTCAAGAAAGCAGTTGCGAAGAAGTGCAGTGACTTAGGCCAGTCCCTGAGTTGTAAGAAAGCGGAAGTAGATGTCTGTGCTCTGAGTGCTGGATTTCTTCAGTGGGGGTAGGAGCAGCTTTTCTTGTTCCTGGACTCTGTGTCCTGGCCTGACAAAGCAAAAGCAAGGCAGCCAGGGTGTTTCCTTGTTGTCCTGAAAATGCTCAAGGAAAGCTGCAAGATGCTGCATGTATCCTTTGCATTTCTGTGGCTGGTAGTGGCAGTGGGTGCTAACAGGAGTTGCTGCCCTGCTGGGACCCTTATAGCCCCTTGGAAGGGGTTAGGGGAGATGCCAGAGAAAAGGTAAACAGAACAGAAGCAGCACCCCTTTCTCTGTCTCGTGGTGATGGAGTGATGGGTATTTGTCGCATTAGGCTGAAGGTTCAAAGTCTACGTAGAAGCACTCGAGTAGTGAATGCCTGAGGAGAGAACAAAGGCACCCTGCTTGGAGGAAAGACACAGGCTTCTTGTGACAAGCAGTTTAGAGTCTGAGCCTTACGAAAAGATTGCCTTTGTGCCTCCTATAGTGCCGCTACTTTCAGCAGCACGGTGCCTGTTGGGTTCACCTCCACGCTCAGGTAGGACACCCAGCTGTAAACCCCCCAGTCCCTGCTGGCTGGCAGGACCTGCCGGACAGAGCATGCTGGGTTGCAGGCCACTCCATTGCCGAGGAAGGCGAGGGAGAAGGTGAAGTTCTGGGGTCCCCCAATCTCCTGCTGGTTCAGCACCGCCACTGCATAGGCTTGGCCAGACAGGGGCCGCTCCCACAGCTCAAAGTTGTTGTCCTGCCAAGGAGAAAATAAACCCAGGGCTTACATTAGCGAAGGCAGATCTGATGGTCTTAGTGCCTGTCTGTTTAAGCAAGCTTCAGGAACAAGCGGGCTCACTGGCCTTCTGTTCTCAAACCCTGAGCACGCCTCTGCACCCCGCAATGTCCCCAGTGTCCCCTTTCTGAGGAGGCTGGCTGCCTGCCTGTGCCCCGCACCTCCAGTAGGGTCCTGCTGTACCTTGGTGATTTGGTATCCCTGCTTGCCCAGTGGATCCTGGTTGATGGCGATCACCTCTTTGTTCTGGAGCAGCCACTTGGCTTCAGGGCTAATGTGCCGCAAGTCGTTGGACATGAAGAGGGGAGCTGCCATGATAGCCCACATTGCCATCTGAGTCACCGCCTGGTCCCAGCTCAGCCCAAAGTTTCCAATCACCAGCTGTGACAAGAAAACAAAAATGCCCGGTAACACTGCCTGCCAAGGAGAAAGTGGGCCACCAACCTGAAACCTTGGTAAATGACAGGATGCTGAGGGTGGGACCCCTGTTTGGGGACTGGTTAGATCGGCTGAGTGCCAGGAGCAGGAGCAGCTGGTTGGGAAAGGCATGGCATGACCAGTGTGGCAATTCAGGATGAACCACTGGTGGAGGTAAAGAAGGACACTTAACTAACTAGGCAGCATTTAAGAATCTGCTTTCAGATGTAGCTGTTCCCTCCTTGCAATGCTGGCACCCAGCTGGGCGCCCAGGATTTTTCCCTCTGTTGGGAGATCAGCACTACAGAGACTGTTGCCCACTGCCACGCCTGTGTTCTCAGCTGGCACTGTGTGTAGAGGCTGTATTACACAGCCACAGTGCTTCCTCTGGCTCTGGTTCTTTCCAGCCAGGGACCATCTCATCACGTTCCCGATCCTAGAGCCCCATCAGAGCCCTTCCTCTCAATGTTTCTCCCTCCCCATCCTTCTCAGCCTACAGCTGAGGAAAGGCTTTTTGCTGGCGCTGCAATGGAGGTGGGCATTGCTCTACTTGCCATGTCAGGATCATTCCAGCCCCCTGGCCCAGCTATCTTCACAATGCTGTCCTGGTGAAGTGCTGTCCAGCCCAAGATATTCTTGATGCTGGTCCAGGAATCGTAGACATCAAAAAAGTTCCTCCAGTGATTGCAGTACTGTTTGATCTCTGTGTAATTGGGCTGCCAAAACAGTGAATGTGGTTAGCCAGAGAGCCTGGCTGTACAAGAACAAGACTGTATACAAGGCTAGACTGGATCAGGGATAATTTAGGGATGATCTAGTGCATGGTGGCTCCCTAGGACGCCTTGTGCCCAGTAACGCCAGTCTGCCATGCTCCAGACAGCACTACTGCTTCCCTTGGGAGAATAGTTCTGGCCACCTAGTTCTGACAGAAGATTCCTTTGAGTGCTATTTTACTGAAGGTGTGATGGGGCCAGTGGGATTAAACTGTGACATCCCAGTAATTACTGCCACTTCTTGGGTTTACACCCTTCAGTGACTAATGGATTTAACTACCAGTGGGAGGGAATGGCAGCATCCTGTTCTGGTGGCACAGGAGAAGCCAGCTATGGGTGGAGAGCAACGTGTTGGTCATGGACCCTGGCTGGCAGAAATCTGTCGGTAAACAACGTGGAGAATTCCTATTACATAGGCTGTCCTAAAGTCTCTCTCCTGGTCCCCAGCGGTGACTGTAAGGCTGAGTCTGCAGCACTCTGCATCCGGAAGGAATAACACTGAATTATTGGCTAGCTGTGTGCATTGCCAACGTTTTGTTGCTTAGTTCCTTGGAGACAGAGAGCAGATGGATGCTGCTGTGTTCCTTGGCACGCTCCACCTGGGCTGTGCCTTCATGCTGCAGGATCCTACTGAATTCTCTTCAGCAGAGTAATGACTCGCCTCAGGTTTACTTCAGGGCTCTAGAGGGAAAAAGCGGTTTTCCTCCACCTTACAGTTTTGTTCTGTCAGACCAGAGAGCAACAAGTTTCTCAGGAGGCTGTTTTGCAGTCTTAATGCTTTTCTGTTCTTCCCACTTTCAGCCCCAGGAAAGCCTTGAGAAACACTCCTTACCTGCTGCATGGGCCTCAGGTAGAAAGGCCACTCACAGGAGTATACAATGCTCCTTCCAGTCTTGTTCAGGGCCAGAGACATGCGCCTGTAACCTAAAGGAAGAGGACAGAGGTTACATGATCTCCTTGGTCAAACAGAAGAACTAATCCAATGTCACAGGTTCAGGTTTCAGTTCAGCTCTTGCAAAACCAAGAATAAACACGTGCTCGTGGCTGAAAGGCCACAGGGAGGGCAGGGGAGCTTATAGTCTGCAGCCAGTCTCCTGCCTCCCAAGGACAGGCGAGCTTCTTCACAGCTCTGCTACAGGTGATGGGCAGGCTTGTTGCCCCCAGGCTGTTGATCTCTTTGTGTGTACAGCCACGGGAGGAGGTTGTGGTTTTGCTGTGGCATTTTTTCCTCGAGATACCTGGGAAATACAAGTTGGTATCTATCAAGCTGCTGGGTAGAGCTTTACTGGTAGTGTTGCAGGAGTATGTTCTTATTGAGGCATTTGCACCATGTAGACCAGGCAGGAATGTAAAAGCACTAGCTTTGTCCTGTTCTTGTCCCCAGACAGCCCTGTTAACTCCCTTTTAATCACCAGAGAAGGAACAAAAAGTTTTCTCTCTTCCCCTGGAACTGCTTCAGTACAACTGGATTGTGTCTGGGTTACACGTATGATCCAGCGAGAGCTTTCAGCTCAGCTGTCACGTACGGTGCTGAGCTGTGCTCCTGACTGCGGCAGCTGGCATATGCCCCACCGGCTGGCTTCCACACGATTGTCACTTGGGCAGGTTCTCCCCACCAGGCAGAGCCAGGACTGTGTGCAGGA